ATAAGGAGCTTTGGTAGCATAGTGCCTAAAGCATTTGACTGCTAACCAGAAGGCTGGTGGTTCAAACCCACCAGCCACTCCTCAGAAGGAAGGTTGGGCAATCTACTTCCATAATGATACTGCCTTGGAAACCCAAGGAGGGGTCTCTGTGAGTCGGCACTTAACAACAATAACAACAACAACAAATTGTTAAGTAAATTTTTGGGAGCTGTCCAGCATGTAACAATAATCAAGACGTTGTCAGTTATGGTCATTACTGAACCACACATTATCAAGTACTTATGACTTAAGTGGTAATAAAAGAGATCTGGGAAGCTTTTTTCTCTTTGAATACTTAAACCAAATAGAATGGGAAGGGAACAATTTAGTGGAAAAAGCACCAGAATGGAGATAGACTTTTATTCTACTACTTGTATTATAACCTCTTTATGTTGGCTTCCTCTAGCAAGTGACGTTTTCCCTGTCTGCTTTACAGGGTTATAAGATAAGTAACATACATATGAAAGAACTTTGAAAAGTTAAATTGCTGGGTGAATACAGAATATTATTCTTTGTTGCCTGTCACCCAGTTCTTTAATTTCAGTTACTATGTGACAAGAAGCAATCTGTAATATTTTAGGAGGTAACCGCCCCCCCATCCCCCACCCCTCCCCCTGCCGAAACTAGACTTATATATGATAATCAGTGGAAAAGCTCCTGGGATGTTTTGTCCCCATTTACTGTTTTTCTTTTTTATTCTCATTAAAGAGTTCCTATTATTTAAGGTTTTCTTGTAATGGGAGCATGGCAAGCTGCCAGCAGAATAGATACTAACTACCTAATGGGAACACAGAGCCTAAAAGCTTTGGTATCCTTTTATGGTTCAGTAAGAATAAATCATCTTTGAACCAGTCTCCTAATTATCCACACTCAAATTTTAGTTTTATTTCTTTTCTTAAAAAACTTTTTATATGGAAAATTTCAGTTATATGTAATATAGGGAGAATAACATACTGAGTGCATGTGCCTATCATCTATCTTCAAAAATTATCAACTCATAGCTAGTCTTGTTTTATCTATGACTGTACCCGTTCATTGCCAGCTGGATTACTTGGAAGAAGATCCCAAACACTGTAATTACATTCAGAAATATTTTAGTATTTAGATTTTCAGGTTCCCGTTTTTCTCGCCTCTTTTTTCTTGAAATGTTTTTCCTATGAAGTTTCTCACAGTCTGAATTTTTCTGATTGCATCTTTGTGGTATTATTTACTATATTCCTTTGTCTGTTTTCTGTAGACAGGCAGATGTAAAGTCTTAATTAGACTCAGGTTTGATTTTTTTTTTTAAAGAGTACTTCATAGGTGGTATAATCTCCTTTCGCCAGGAAGCACATGATGTCTGGTTATCATTCTTTGTGTAATGTTAGCAGCCATTGAGGATCATTTTCTAGATCAGTAATTTTGTTAGGCGTTTGCAAAATGGTGA